GATTATTTAAATAATCAATATTTGCCTGGTTTGCCTCTAGTAACTTTCGTCCTAATAGAATGTCATAATTGGAAGAAAAGTCGTGAATATAAAATATTTGTTAGGTGCAACTATTACAAAGTCATTTAGTTCATAATGACCTGTCATAGTGCGTATAATTGTCGGATCTTTATGTATGCTCCCGTTGAGAAAATTCTTTTTCATTAAGTTAATTGATGAACCGGTATCGACGAGGCAACGATAATTTTGGTTATTTATAGTTATTTCTGTTGTGTTCTTGTTGAGTTCTATTTCAGACAGACTTTATTGTATGCGAAGCTTATAGAGTTACCAGATTCTTAAAGTGTATAGAATGGAGGAATACAAACAGATGTGAAATTGACAATATATAACAATTTCTATTTATTTAATTGGTCCGAGGCTTGCATTGGAAAATTTTCATTTTCATTATAAACATCTTCTTTGTACTCCTTATTTTGTTGATAATTTTCGTCTACACTTGCATTCTTTATTATCCACTATTACTTTCTCTGACTCTCTTTTGTGGTTGGTTGGGTACTGAGCCCGATCGTCCTTATTTTGTTGATAATTTTCGTCTACTTGCATTCTTTATTGTCCACTATTACTTTCTCTGACTCTCTTTTGTGGTTGGTTGGGTACTGAGCCCGATCGTCCACCTGGCTGTTGGCTTTGATTCATTATTTTATTTTGTTTGTTGATGCTTTTGAATTTTATTAACATTGATGTTATAATGTTTTAAATTTTCATTTTCTTCGTATAGCACTTCTTGCTGTTTGCCGCTTGTTTCAGTTTAAGTACTGATGAAGTATCGCTTCTTGCTAATGTCATAAAAATTCTGTCAAGTAATTTTCGTTGTATAAGGTTTTTTGTAGTCTTAAACATTGCTTCTGTGTACAATATTAATTAATTTGGATTTCCCTCACGTTCTAATTTGTTGTTTATAACTAACTGCTCAAGCTCGATCTCGTTACAAAATTTTCTTAGATTACCTTGAAAATTAGTATTGTATAATCGCCTTAATAGTTCCTTCACAGGTGTTTGCGTTTTTTACTCGTCGATTAGGGCTGCAGTTGTTGACTTGTAGAACTTGCAGAATCCTCTGGGCATCACCTCTGGGTGATTTGAAGTTCAATTGATCCAAATATAACGCTTGTCTGTCGATCATTGGTTGTAGGATACAGAAGCAAAAGGTAATTAACTCTTCAGACAAAGGTTCCTAGGGTAGATGGATCTCCTTCAAAAGTTGGAATATTCCGGATCTGGGAGAAAAGTTGATTTAAGTTTTGCTCCGTCAATGGTTGGGTGCCACACCAATTTGTGGTTGCCTATGAGCTGGTGGTTGTTGGTCCATTTTGTTGTGTTTAATTAAATTCCACTCAACTTTATTACTGACCGAATTGGATTTATTCAGTAGTCGATTGAACTTTAATTTATTATAATATTTGTTCAGTGCCTTTAATTTGCACTTAGGTTATTTTGCGGATCTCTTAGTTGCACTTCCGAGCTAGTCGAATAAATTGCTTACTTGTAGGCAATTCCACGCGCTGATCTGGATATCCTAGTAGTTTAGAAATATCCTTTTAATTGATCAGTAAGCTCCCGACTTTGTTTTATCGCAAGGATATTTTTTAAAGAGATCCTACCGACAGCGCCATTTACATGAGTCGTTCTTTGTCCGAATACAAAAAATCAGGAGATTTATTATTATTATTATTATTATTATGAAAGATAGAAAAGTTTACAAAACTAGACTAACTTAATGGTATAGCGCTGGCTACTGTGGCCTTCGGCTATATGAGTTGATAGTGCTTAAGCCTAAGGGATGGTTGAATGTTGAGGGATATGTACATGTTGTGTCTTAACTTAGTATTTAACTGTTATAAGTCTAACAGTATATAAGTCGGAACGACTGGAATCGGCCGACTATATCGTATAGCTGTCATATAACTGATTGATCGGAAATGGTATAACTTTGGTGTTTTTAGAGTTCGAGTTCAAATTTTCCAAATTGCAAACCGACCTTCCAAATTTCATAACGATCGTCCGGCCGACTATATCTTATAGCTGCTATATAACTGATTGATCGCAAATGGTATAACTTTGGTGTTTTTAGAGTTAGAGAGTTCAAATTTGACATGAGAGCTATTTTTGGCTATTTTGACACGACAGCTAAATCATTACGACATGCCAAATTTTATAAGGATCGGTCGACTATATCTTATAGCTGCCATATAACTGAACGATCGGAAATGATTCAACTTTCGTGTTTTTGAAGATAGAAAGCTGAAACTTAGTACATATTATATTTTTGGTCAGTTGACCCGACCTACCAAATTTCATTAGGGTCGACCGACTATATCCTATAGCTGCCATATAACGATCGGAAATGTTATTTGGTAGAAATATCAACTTTCGTATTTTTGAAGATAGAAGCTTGGAAATTTTTTTTAGATTTTTTATTTTAATTAATTAAAATTTTATTATTATGATGTTTTATGATGTTTTAGTTTTATTGTGATGTGCTCTTATGGATCGGCCAACTATATCCGATGTTTGCGATATATATCCGGTTTTAACTGCAAGGGTATATCAACTTCGGCTCCGTTCGAAGTTAGCTTTCCTTTCTTGTTTTTTAATAAGTATGCCAACAAAATTTAGTTCTGTGGTCGTACAGTGGTGGCCCTCGTTTGCCTCCTATATAAACCAATTCTTGGTATTCTTAGGGCAATTGAGTATGACGCTAAATTAGGAAAATATGGTGAAATTTATTTAATTAAATAATAATGGTTTATGAGTTTAAAAGTCAGCTTCTTTTTCTTATTTTACTAACGAGTATTCTTCGTTAAGGTCCTTATCGGAATTACCTCGTAACTGTTTGTCAAATATTTTGTTGTCGGTAGAAAGCTTTTTCCTTTAGAGCCGTCCTTTAGAGTTGTCTCTTCTTTAGATAATAAACGTTCCTAAGATAGCACCCTGTGAAAATGATCAGTCATAGTAGTGATTCGACTATTTTTTATTGCATGTGAGAGTCTGGGTCTCTCTTCTGACGTGGTTCTGTTGCATTTTCGCTTAAACATTCTAATGGAATTATTGTCGACTTATTAATTTTATAACCGTGAACTAGTTCTCGTTGTAATTCGTTGATGACATTGGATACCACAGGAATTTCTGCATACATACATAAGCAAAAGGATTCCTCAAAAAATTTGGAATTTGATAAATGTAACTTAATGAATAAATAAAAACAGATTTTTTTTGTCTATTTCCTTTACACTCCACCCCTATATACATTAAATTTTTCGCGCCTGTATATTACAACTTAACGTGCCTATATATTACAAAAATGTGAGAAAATGGGGAAGAAAGGGGATGAGTTTTTGTTTGTGGTTAAAGACAACACCCACAAGTACTATCAGGAATTAGTTGCAGCTTAGGAACAGCTAACCAATTAGGAACAGCTTATTAGTTATATTCCACAAAACACACAAGGGCGCATATCAGATTAAAAAAAAATTCAGATATATTGGACATTGCAAAATAGTAAATGTTTAGAATTTCAATTAAAATAACAATATACATAAAATATTGCATACCTTGAAGATTACATTCCATAATTTAGTTGAATTTTGTGGTCCAATTTAACGTGTGTGACAAACATAAAGCAACTGTTTTTGAGCAAATTTCAATTCGGAAATCTACTGATCAAAAGCTCATTTTTAAAAGCTCAGCTTTGGTGGCGCTTTTAATGATTTTAATTATCACTTTTATAATTTATGATTAATTTAGTCTAAGACTATAGTGCATTGTCCAAATTGAAAACAAATGTCGAAATTACATCCTTATGTTCCTTATGAGAATATCATGATAAATCAAATTAATTACAATAGAATATCTAAAAAAATGCACAAACTTCTATCTAAAAAATACCAAAGTTTGTATTTCTACCAAAAACCATTTCCGATCGTTCAGTTATATGGACGATCGTTATGAAATTTGGAAGGTCGGTTTGAAATTTGGAAAATTTGATCTCGAGCTCTAAAAACACCAAAGTTATACCATTTCCGATCAATCAGTTATATGGCAGCTATAGAATATAGACGGCCGATCCCGGCCGTTTCGACTTATCGCGTGCAAAGGAAAGGAAAGGTGTGCAAAGTTTCATAGCTTTAAACTGAGACAGACGGACATGCTCATATCAACTCAGGATGTGATCCTGATCAAAAATATATATTCTTTATAGGGTCGGAGATGTCTCCTTCACTGCGTTGCACACTTTTGGACAAAATTATAATACCCTCTGCAAGAGTATAAAAATTAAATTAAAAAAAAAAAACAAACAAAAAAAGATGAGTTCTCAGCTCGGATCAAACCCTGTACCCTTCACACATCACCCAAAAATTCTACCGCATTTTCTATTGTTCAGTTATGGCTCCATGTCGTTTAAGCTATTTTTTTAAATATATAATGATATAGTAGGCTTTGAAATATAAAAATCACCGAGTAATGACAAAATTCCGAAAACGAATACAAACATGAGTGAAAACTAGTTATTTAAAGTGAAATATAACTTTCACTAAAAGCTATTTTTCGGAACATTTTCGCTGATCTATATCATAAGTCAGTTACCGAGCATTGTAGGATAGTTTCGTTTAACTATAGTCATTTGGCCCGCTGGCTAGCGATCAGTTGGGAAATTACACAACTTTAGTGTTAATGAAAAGAGAAGCTTTTCACTGCCAAAATTGTATATTAGAAAAAAATGTATTTGATACCATAAATAAATATAAATCCGATATTTGCGAGATGTACAGCCGATGTACATATGCTAATTAACATATTGTGCATAGCGCAGAAGCAGGGTGGTGGATGTTTTTTTTGAGTCGTTTCGAGAGTAAACAAAGGTTAAGTAAAAAAATTGAATTTTGCTGGTTCGTTTCAATACATTTTTTTAACAAAGCTATAAACATTTTCTTTCACAGAAACAATTTTGTGATCTTTTTGCATTGGCTGCCGAAGATGAAACCGCAGCTGTTGGTCGTCGGGGAGCTAGTGGACGTGGGCGTAAACAGCCTATCAGCAAGAAAGAAGCGAATAATCACAGCACAACAAATAAAAAAAATAACGAAATCGTTAAAACAATATATTCATCGGATGATAACTCCAGTGAGGTCGGTGGCCAAGTTATATACTATACATAATAAATTCATTAATACTTTTTTATTTAGGAGGATTGGTCGAAACCAAAAATTGTTCAAGCAGCAAAAAAAAGAAAAAAAACTGTTAATGATTCTGAATGACAGTTCAAATATCAGTTGATAAATTCCTGCTTTGACGAAGAGAATCAAATTAAATCGACAATTACGACATGGTTTAAGAATTTGTAAATGAATAAAAATAATCAGGATACAATTGTCAAATTTTTTTTTCATGTTGAAAATGTAACGTTATATATTATTTTTTGTAGAGTAAATAAAATCTAATATATTGAATGTTATGACTGTTAAGGAATCCTGTTCTGGAGAAGGTACAAAGGAAAAATGTTTTAATGGCTTTCGGTCTTCCCTAGACCTAGGACGTGTTCGGTCCCTTTTGGTACCGCAATGAATTTACTTCCCTTTCCCTTAGAGCAGTGGTCGGCACCCCAATATATTGATATGATTTAAACGCATAAGTGTTATAACGAATAGCAGAAAGTAGGCTGTGAGCATGACGTTTCACACATTTATACTGTGTGTGTGTGGCAGAGCTCGGGCAGAGACATTTCCTATGCCCTCGGGATAGGGCCGTGCCGACCACTGCCTTAGAGGGACCCATTCATGATCATTTCCAAGTTACCGCATATGCCACTAACTAGCAGCGTATATGCCACCTTTTCCATTTTACGTAAAATCGAATTGGAAGCTATGTTGCATTGGAAAGAAGAGTGGACTCCTTCTTGCGGGCGGCCCGTAAGAGGGTTTATGTGCCTAGTGAAGACTTCCTTTTATTAAAATTAGCAATTGATCAATGAGTCCTATCAAGTGGCCTGTCATCTTCCCAAAAGCCATGTCTCAAGTGGCCATCTTCCCCTCCATGTCTCTAAGAGCGCCCGGAGGAATTCCACGCGTAAATCAGTGGATTTACCCTTTTTGTAGACATATTATGCGTTAGAAATAAGTTTTAGGATAAAAGTGGATCTTAGGTAAAGGTATATGAGCTTTTCTAGGGTCTCAAGTAGACTGATTGGTCTGAAACTTACAGCATTAACAACCGACTGGATATAGCCATGTCCGTCTGTCAGTATGAACGCGTGAATAAAGCTACAGGATCTGGCATGGATTAAGTTTTAAGTAGTTTAAGGATTTTGCTACGTAACCCCATTGTACTTATAGGTAAGTGTTAGTGACGATATTAGTTTTTTTAATTTTTGGACGAAGAAGAGGTGGAAGGTTGGTCTGTGGTCTAATATGTCGAAGTTTCACACCCAATGGTTTTAAACCTTTCTTCTTTCCGGTACTAGGATGTTGTTTTTAGACGAAAATCTTTTCTGGCCAAAAACTGGGTGATCAAATTGTCTTGAACTTCAGCACACAAATCTTGAAAGAAGACGTGCGCCTTATATAGTTATATTTAAATTTAGCTATGTTCTCCACCTTTATATCGGCTTTTGTTTTGGCTTTGATATAAGCCGAGATATCAATCTTTGAAATATCAGGGGCAAGCAGAAAAACAAATATATGTTTCGATGGAGCAATCACCTGTAAGGTTTCTGATGTCGCAGGTACGAAAACTGCAGCATCAGTCGGTACCGGTGGTACAGACTGTGGAATACCCTCTTGGGTGACTCTAACGGGGGTTTCATTCACTAGAACCTGTGGTATCACTTAAAGGGATGCCACGGAGGACATTTCGGAAAATAGCTCATTTGCACTAAGAAATTCGGACGACGAATTGTTCTCAGTTTTAGACCAGAGGAGTCTGGGGTGGCCAGAGCGGCTGCGTTAATGTCGGTTGAGCTGCCTGAGGCGGATCACAAACAGCGGATTTCTTACGCTTAGGGACCTCATTTAGTAGCTGATGGCCGCTAAACTGAGTGTCAAGCGCACAGAGCTGGTCATTGATTTTACGAAAACCAGTGATCAACTCTTTAAATCCATTCTAAGTCTGTCTCTTAGTCTTAGTCTTAGTCTGTCTCTTAGGCTTGGACAGCTCGACAATTATCACAACAATAATGTAAACCAGACCTACGGGAAATGGTATCCGAAACTGAGGCAGTGAATCCGGCACACTTGGCGTGTACGACGTTTTTACATAGCCAGCAATGGATGGTAGGCTGGGATGAGGAGATTGTATTGTTACAAGACTTCATTGAACAGACGAGTTTAAATTCCATTGTAAAAATTAAGAATAAAAAAAATATTAAAAAATATTATTAATTGAAATTAATTATATTATTAATTCGCCTCCAAATATACCACGCGAAGCGATACGGTTTACGTCAAAACTGAAGTTTCTCCAAATTCGATGCTTTTTGGCGAAAACTTAAATAAACTGTGTACAAAAAAAATGCTCCGCGATATTTTAAGAAATCGCTAAGATGTGGAGCCTGAGAAATGATCAGTGATAAATTATCAAATTATAGACTATACATTACCAAATTCAACATAATTTTCGTTATTTTCAAAAATGGGGGCCATTTTTGTTTTTTATTATATGGGGGCCCGTGATTTGTACCCCCCGGGCACGAAATTCCCTCTCGGCGGACCTGATATTCTTGATCAGAATCAACAGCCAAGTCGATTAAGCCATATCCGTCTGTCCGTCCGACTGTCCGTATGAAGGCTTGGATCTGAGACTTTTAGAGATAGAGCTAAGGATTTGGCATGGAGACTCTTATAATGCCCACGCAGTTCAAGTTTGTTTCAAAATTTTTCCAAGTCCTCTCCCTCCTCACAAATCCAAATTTCTTTAGCTCCAGTACTGGAAGGTTTCCTAAAAAAAGTTGTTGCCAAACTATTTCTTTAGTTAATATCTGAAAAACATATCTGAAAAAAAAAACAAAAACAATATCTGAAAATTTCAACCAAATCGGCCGATTTTTAGAGGAGATATAATCATATATGTATATACAATTTTCCATACAAACGGTCTAAAAGCAATATTAAAACAATAGACAAGTTTTATATAACAGTTGTGATGTGTTAAAAAAAGTTTTTTAAAGTTTAAATAAAAGAGTCCCGAGCGATGAGCTAATTGAGCAACTATCAAAAGAACGAGCGTAAAAGCTCAGTGAACCAAAGAAACGGCTACTACTCTTACTTTTCAACCCACGAAATGGATCCGAAATGGAAAAATCGGCGATTAAGAGCAACTTGGCTCTACTGACCGCTGAAAGGCAAACACACGGCCTTGCTCACCCGCTCTGCTCCGACTCCCGCGTCATGGAGTTCGCAGTGTAAAACCCTTCATCCAATGGCGGAAACAAATTTCGCCCCAACAACACGAAGTGCTACAATTTCAGCAACCACAGTAACAACCACTGCAATTAAAAATACCGCGACGTCAACGACTACAGCGAGTACAAAAACAACAACTTCGGAAAGTGCCAAAGCGGCCCGCGCACACAAACTGGAGTGGATCGGTACATTCCACCTAAGCTTAGCCCGCAGAGTAATCTGCAGGCAATAAAGCAAAAATTAAACGCGTCCAGAAGATCGACAAAAATTGGTTTAATTAAAAATAACCAATCAATACAAAAGTTTTTTTTTAACGTTGCTTGTCTATATTCTTTTCTTAAGATATTTTTTTAAGAAATAAATAAAAATAATAACATAATAATAATCATAATAATAAAAATATAATAATCTTCCTAAATATAATAACAAAAATTAAAATGACTCTAAAATTCTCTATTTTTAGTTAATAATAATATAAACATAGCAATTTTTCAGAAATCTGGATTTTAGGTATGGAGTCTTTGGAATTTATTCTAGGAAAGTTAAATGTTACATTAATATTAAAGCAGTTGGTGCTGTACAACCAATCTAAAAAACAACATAAACATTTTTAGTATCTATGCCGCACTGGTATTAAAGGTGGCGATTTTAATGACAAATATAGTATTTGGGGTAACACCACGCTTGATGCCAGAGGAGGCATCTTGGTAAACGCTCTTTTAAATTCAGGATTTTTATGCATTAACAATGGCGATCCAACCTACGATCCTATCCAACGGACACATAGTCCGTCCTATTTCTCTACCCTTGATGTCACTGTCACAAACAATAATCATCTTAGATTTAAATGGGCTTCAGGAAATTCTAAAATTTATTGAAGTTTCAATTGAAGAGGATAATATTTCGGCTTCTTTCAACTCTTATAAATATAATCGCCAAAAAAATTATTAAAGATTTCTCTAATGTTCATATTACTTCTCAAAACACACACGCCAATAATAGATAAAATTAAATGGGAATAATAGATACGTTCCTAAAAAATACTGGGATGAGGTTTGAGAAAAACTGTTTAGGGTAAGAAACAAATAAGAAAAAAATATTTTAAGGGGACCCCCCCCATTCTCGATTTTAAAAAATCGATTTTTTTTTTAAATTTAATTCGAACTTATAACTATTCAAGAATGTTCCCTGAAAATTTCAAGAACAAATTTCAAAAAGTCTTGAAGATATAGCCGATTTATGGTGGAAGCCTTAGGCGACGGCGAGAGCCATCTCAAAACTTTAAACGCGTTTTTCTCGAAACAGTGTTTTTACGACTGGCGCATGAGGTTACTCAAAAACTATTAATCCAATCGGTTCCAAATGTTAACACGTTATTCTTTACATATATAGCTCTCGTATGAACTAGGATAAATCGGTGAAGATCTTCTTTACTTTTCAACTCGATTTGTGGCTGAAAAAACTGGAAATTTCCAAAAAAAAAATTTCAAAGGTCCACCATTTTGTTAATTTTTGAGCGAAGTTAATAATCCTAGTTCATACCAGAGCCAAACATGTACTTTTTCTAATCCCGTTGGAATTTTTGGATTCAGATGTCCCAATGAGCGGAAATCACATGCGCCGCCGAAAAGAAGGGCTTTTCTTTGATCACAAAAAACAACAACAAAAACAAAAAAAAAAAATTCTGTGAAATGGTTTTCTTCCTTTTTGTGTCTTAATATATGTAAGCACAGTTACAACCCTAAAAAATAATTTATGTTCATTTGCCAGCCCATTGAAAATCGTCAAAATTTAAAATCAAGAATGGGGGGGTCCCCTTAAATCCAAGCTTCACACAGATGCTATTCCCTATATCAACAGTAATAGAAAACTTAATTATTTCTATAAAATAAAGGATAACCTAAACAGGCTTTTAGATGATTTATCTGACCCTACCTCAATGAAAGATATGTGGGAAAAAATTCAATCCCTTAAACTTTGTAAAAAATCAAACCTTCCAAAAGTACATTTTTTGACTCGGAACACCACGATTTTCTTAGTCAAATAGCCACAGC